CGCGTGCAAATAAGAACAAACTGAAACGCTCGAATGTTCGTCGCACGACCGCAGCGTGGAACTGGTTCAAAACGATAAGAAAGTTGTTTATATACAAAGCCCAATACACGCGTAGAGTGGAAGAAGAAACATTCAGGTATGTAGGTGTAATACAATTTATATAATGTTAAAAAGACATAAAATCGAGCATCCAGAGTGGGTGCGTGCCGGCAACACAATTTTTCACGACAAAACTATGACCCAATGTCCACTATGAACCTTAAAAAACTTGAAACATAGATCGCGTGCAACACAAACATTTCTAGAAAAGGGGTTGAAGAATTATACTTATACGCAAATTTTCGAGGGTTGCAAGTCGAATTCCTGCAACAATTAAATACCACCCGACGGAGAATTTAATTCCGCATCTTTAGACGCCACGCTGAAATTACTACGCCGCATAGATCGCGTGCAAACCAAAAAAACACAAACATTTCATGAAAAGCAGCTTGAAAAATTATTCTTATATGCAAATTTTCGCGGGTTGCAGGTCGAATTCCTGCAACAATTAAATACCACCCGACGGAGAAATTAATTACGCATCTCTAGACGCTACGCTGAAGTTACTACGCGGCCTAGATCGCGTGCAAACCGGAAAAAACACAAACATTTCACGTACAAGGGTTGAAAAATTACACTTATATGCAAATTTTCGGGGCTTACAGGTTGAATTCCGGCAACAAATGAATACCACCCGACGCAGAATTTAATTCCGCATCTCTAGAGGCCAAAGTGAAGTTACTACGTGGCCTAGGTCGCGAGCAAACCCGAAAAAACACACATTTCACGAAAAAAGGTTGAAAACTTATACTTATATGCAAATTTTCGGGGATGCGCCGATGGCGCGCGACCTTGTGCACGAATTGCAATAGGCGCGATACTAAATAATAAATATATACAGTTTGTAGGTGAATAAATTTGACTGCGACGGAAAATTAATTCGAATTTAATAAATAATAATTATTAATGTGATAATCAGGAATGATAAAGAGTATTTGAGAATGCAACATATTTAATTTCAACATAACGCACAAATATTAAAAAGAAAGGAACGATCTGCGGTCCGTCGGTAAGTATTCCTTAGTCACGTACTGATGAATGTACTACTAAATACGAATCCAGCGGAAATAATACATTAAAATGTTGATTACCTGTGATTATACTCCGATTAGTAAAATTATTCAAGCAGTTCTATCTTCTGCGGATGACAAATATAATTTGCATAAATTGATGAACACAAAACACCCACGAAACATTAAATCTGTATGGATATCCAAACGCGGACGCAGAGAATAGGGCAATTAGCACTGAACACCGAATATAACACGCGCGATTCACGGAATTAAAAATCTCAGGAAAAGTTGCGAATCAAGAGAATGAACCGCACGCCCGTCGACCGGCGATAAGATTGAAATGCGCGTAATGTAAACACTGCGAGCGGTGTAGGATAGCAACAACAACACAATCCGTCTGACGACTGCACGATGCTAGCTGAAGATAATAAAGAAATCAACCGAGTTCAATATTTTAATAGAATAAATTATATTAAACACAATTAAATGCAACTATATTAAATTATAGTTCCACTACTGTCGCAAAATGTATCAGAATCAAATAAATCGCAATTTTATCATTTTAATAAACCTGTTTCGCTTTTTAATGAAAAAAAAACAAATGCTATACTTAGTTCTTATTTGAATATTCTATTCATGAATAAACTTACATTCAATTTTTGTCCACTTTATTTAATCGCGAATAACTCGTAAACTAAAGGAGATAATTAAGATCCGATCGCAGCGTCGTAATCTACGGACTATTCTCTATAAGACAGGCTAGTTAAAACGGAAATCTGTGAAATGAAATTTTAATTCTCAAGAAAAATGCTTGATACTTTATAAGTTTAATATCTCGTAAACTAAAAAGAGATAAATAAGATCTGATCGCAGCGTCTTAATCTACGGACCAATCTCTATCAGATACGATAGTTAAAACCGAAATCTGAGAGATAAAATTTTAAGTCTTAAGAAAAAATTGCCAATTAGGGTGCTTGATACTTTTTTCGACGATTTTCAAAAATTCATATCTCTTTAAACTAAAAGAGATAGCTACCAACGAATTGTTGATTATGAAAGATTGGAAGATTCTCTATCAGATAAAAATATAAAATAATTATATTTCCTACAGTAAAAGGTCGAAAAACGCGACTAAAAGTGCTAAAAAGTGACATTTTGCAATTTTTGCCCATTTCATTCAATCGCGAATATCTCGTAAACTAAAAGAGATAAATAAGATCTGATCGCAGCGTCTTAATCTACGGACCAAACTCTATCAGATAGGATAATTAAAACCGAAATCTGAGAGATAAAATTTTAAGTCTTAAGAAAAAATTGCCAAGGGGGGGTGCTTGATACTTTTTTTCGACGATTTTCAAAAATTCATATCTCTTAACCAAAGGCGAGATAGCTACCAACGAATTGATGAGATTGCGAAAGATTGAAGATTCTCTCATCAGATAAAAATATAAAATAATTATATTCCTACAGTAAAAGGTCGAAAACGCGACGAAAAGTGCTAAAAGTGACATTTTTGTACTTTTGCCCATTTTATTCAATCGCGAATATCTCAACTAAAAGAGATAAATAAGATCTGATCGCAAAGCGTCTTAATCTACGACCAATCTCTATCAGATAGGATAATTAAACCAAAATCTGGAGAGAGATGAAATTTTTAAGTCTTAAGAAAATGCTAAGGGGGTGCTTGATAATTTTTTCGACGATTTTCAAAAATTCATATCTCTTAAACTAAAGGAGATAGCTACCAACGAATTGATGATTGCGAAAGATTGGAAGATTCTCTCATCAGATAAAAATATAAATAATTATATTTCCCACAGTAAAGGTCGAAAAACGCGACCGCGCAAGCAAAAAGTGACACATTTTGCAATTTTGCCCATTTTATCTAATCGCAACATCTCGTAAACTAAAAAGAGATAAATAAGATCTTGATCGCAGCGTCTTAATCTACGGACCAATCTCTAATAGATACGATAGTTAAAACAGAAATCTGAGATGAAATTTAAGTCTTAAGAAAAATTCAAGCAAGGGGTGCTTGATAATTTTTCGACTGATTATGAAATATTGAAAATTCTCTGTTAGATAGAAAATTTAAAAATAATATAATTTATTGGGGTAACAGACGAAGCTATACCGACGATGGTATATGCGTATTAAGCGTTGGCGCATAAAGATGCGAGACAGCCAGTTTGGTGTCAGGTGTACTCACTACTTAAGGCGTTGATATTTAATACAATCTTGAGTCCAAACCGCTGGTAGATGCTTGAAGTCCGTTGAGGTCCCGTAACAAACCTTCATGGAATTGAAATTACTTCTTCCAATTTTTAATCGCGTCCCGCACCTCGATTTGTCGCATATTCGGATACATTTTGTAAACACTGCGTACCTTCCCCTAACAGTGAAGGGGACAGTAATGACCTCCTTCGGTAGCTAATTGATCGCGATTCAATTAAATTGTTAAATTAAAACGCGTCGCAACCCGCACTCGATAAGTATTTTCCTGTTACACCTCTCCAGGTTCTGCGAATATCGCCTTTATCACTTATGCCCGAGAATCGAAACAAAGAATAAAAATAGTGGGTAAGGATGATTTGGTAGATATCTGGAACTAATTTTTAAGAATAAAATAAATAAAATAATAAATGAATCTAAATTCGGCAATTTTAAATTATGAAAAATTATAAAATAATAATGATATTATGAGGTAGGAGTGGAATATTAATAAAACAAAAAGTACATATACCGATAACGAACGCGCCCGAATCTCCCCAAAAATGCCCAAATAAATCGAATATAAAATTCGAAAAACAAGCAGAAAGAACAATTAGTAACAGAAAAATTCAAAATTATTAGAGACAATGTAAAAACTTTTGTATAACAAAACCAAACCTGTTCCCATTCCTGGGAAAAGCATGACTACCCTGACATCTTGTGGCGGGACCGTAGGCCATCTAGAAACAGCAGGAAATAATAGAAAACAGTTATTTTTTAATAATATACATGCCTCGCGATGGGAAACAGGAAAGGTTTCAAGAAGTCGCACCACACAAGAAAACAGAAAATAAAACAGAATTAAAATGTGACAAATACTAAAAGAATAATTAAATGATAAATGCAACGCTTGAAAATAAAAAATAGGAGTGCGTTATCAGCAGCCAAATTTCAAAGCTGAAATGTTAAAATCCAAAACAACAACATGGCTCCTCTTTGTGTTAGTGCGTTAAAATTGGCACTCTACCGACGCAAAGTGAACGTTTGAAACATGTGAAAAGCAGACACAATAACTGATAAGGCCGCTGCGCATGGGCCTTCGCGAAGTTGAAAGTGCGGTCACCGTATCTTCATTTCCTGACTTCCCCGTAATTCATTAAAACTACATTCTTAGGATGATGCAACTTGGTGGCTGGACAAACCCGTCCAATCCCAAATGCAGATTTAATACTAAAAAGGCGCAAATGAAAATAATGCAAGAACCTTACTCAGGAGTGCCTCGAGGAATGTTTTCACTTGCAGCACACTTTTTTACTGATTTAATAAATTATTGGCAATTTTATTAGCGGAGCTGTAACCGCGACAATGTCGCGCACTGAATGATGCTGCTGAGCGTACGTTGCGGAAGAACGTTAACTTGAGTTTCCCTGCGCCGCTTCCTGCGCTGGACTTGCGCACAAAAAAGTTTGGCGTTGAGGTGATGTTGATAAACTCCGAAGACAAAACATGCAAACAACGCACGTATTCTATATTACTTTAAGATCGCATATTGCATGACATGATTGCATTCGAAGATTACTGAATGTTCAGAGATAGTGTGAGTTGTTACTTTTCTTGTATGACTTCCGACGTCTGAATTCCCGCAGCCCGGAAGTGCGCATAAGACGATCGGGTAGTATCAGTGTGATAGAACGCCTGAAAACAGACAAATAAATGAAATTGAATGTTTATTTAAATAAATATTTAATTTATATAATATTCTTAGGAATTATTGTCGCAACTAGCGCGACAGAGCGAAGCGTGAAAGGATGGCAACGACAACACACGGCAATCTTGTGTAGTGTCGAATGCTCACGTTTGCTGATAAATATCTAAATAAACAAACATTAGCTACAGCATTTCGTGCTCTGTTGAATGAATTACGTTCCGTCGGAACTCAAACTTTGAATTAAAAATTTGCTATTCGCATATTAATCATAGGAAATGACAATATTTACCTTGCAGCACATTGATTCATGCAAGTCAATTCGATTATTAGCGTTTAAAGCGTTGATATTTTCATCGGGCGTGGCCCGGACGGCAACGGAAAAACACGCAAAATTTACAATTACGAAGATTACACACGCGATAAATACCTGATAAAAGCTCAAACAAGTTTATTTTCAACACTAATTATCACCGGCGATCAGGAAATATAAACACGATTTACCGAATTTACATCAAAGAATAACACAAGTCGAAGTGTGGAATGCGCTCGTCGTTATCGCACCGTTGAAACAAAACAAAATCCCTCTCTGCTGAATATTTCCAGGTGAACCTACATCGTTACATCTGGTAAAAACACTTTGCCAAAGTGTTTCAACAGTGTGGCGTACATGCGTCAGTGCGAAATTGTCTATGGCGCGGTGAGTGGTCACGCACTTAATCGCGCGGCAATGTGTGAGACACGTACAAGAAAGAGCGTATGCATCACCCTGTCTAAATGACTAGCAACAAACAAACGCAATGCTACGGAGAATTTAATTCCGCATCTTCTGACGCCGCGCTGAAGTTGATGAGCCGCCAAGGTCGCGTGCAAACCCGAAAATATACTAACATTTAAACGAAAAGTGTGAAAAAATCACCCTTTCAAGGAAATTTTAGCGGGTTGCAGGTCGAAATCCTACAACAAATAAATACCACCCGACAGAGAATTTAATTCCGCATCTTTTGAAGCCGTGCTGAAGTTAATGAGCAGCCAACGTCGCGTGAAACCCCGGAAAATATACTAACACCGCGTTCGCGTGTTATACTACAAAAACTACAATTCCTTAAGCAACGAGTACTATGGCGCACTTTGTTTCGACGATTTTCAAAAATTCATATCTCTTAAACTAAAAGAGATAGCTACCAACGAATTGTTGATTGTGAAAGATTGGAACATTCCTCTATCAGATAAAAATATAGAGTACTATATTCTTACAGTAAAGGTCGAAAAAACGCGACCAAAAGTGCTAAAAAGTGACATTTTGCAATTTTTGCCCATTTTATTCAATCGCGAATATCTCGCAACCAAAAAGAGATAAATAATATCTGATCGCAGCGTCTTAATCTACTGACCAATTTCTATCAGATAGGATAGTTAAAAACTGAAATCTGAGAGATGAAATTCTAAGTCTTAAGAAAATTAACATCTCGTAAACTAAAAAAGAGATAAATAAGATCCGATCGCAAAGGTCTTAATCTACGGAGTACTCTCTATAAGTTAGATAGAAGTGAAATCTGGAGAGATGATATTTTAAGTCTTAAGAAAAAAAATTGCCAAGGTGTTTGATACTTTTTCGACGATTTTCAAAAATTCATATCTCTTTAAACTAAAAGAGATAGCTACCAAATGAATTGTTGATTATGAAAGATTGGAAGATTCTATGAGATAAAATATAAAACAATTATATTTCCCACAGTAAAAGGTCGAAACGCGACTAAATGTGCTAAAAGTGTCATTTTGCAATTTTTTGCCCATTTTATTCAATCGAGAATATCTCGTAACCAAAAGAGATAAATAATATCTGATCGCAGCGTCTTAATCTTACGGACCACCCTATCAGATAGGACAGTTAAAAGGGAAATCTGAGAGATGAAATTTTAAGTCTTAAGAAAAAATTGCCAAGGTGCTTGATACTTTTTTCGACGATTTTCAAAATTCATATCTCTTAAACTAAAAGAGATAGCTACCAACAAATTGCTGATTATGAAAGATTGAAAAATTCCTATCAGATAAAAATACTAAAATAATTATATTTCCTACAGTAAAAGGTCGAAAAACGCGACTAAAAGTGCTAAAAAGTGACATTTTGCAATTTTTGCCCATTTTATTCAATCGCGAATATCTCGTAAATTAATAGAAATAAATAGGTACAAATTGCAGAGTCTTAATCTACGGAAAATTCTCTATAAGATAGGCTAGTTAAAACGGAAATGAGAAAGAGGTTTTCGCTTCAAAATTAAAAATTGAGAAATTTGAAGAACGATTTTAAAGCACTTCGCGCATTGTTTCCGGGGGCGGCAATAGCGTGTTGTTGAGAATGCAGCTCGCGTATCAAAATCATCAGAAACATGCAAATACTCCCAACATTTCCAGATATATGACCCGATTTCCGCAATAAAACATTTAAAAATAGGAAAATTTATATAATTATAATGTAATAATAAGTATAAACTTACTAGTGCCTCGAGTTGTCACTAAATGAGCTGCAACAAGAAAAAAAACAGGTGTGTTAGAACTCACACTATGCTAAACACTTCTTAAATCTGTTCCGTCAGATGACGGACTTGAATGACACATACTCAGAATTATCAATAGTATACATACCTCTTATTTCCATTCCCAGCATGGAGATACGAGTACAATAATCGTCGGATCACTAATACACAAATGAACACACGAGTTCTATAATTATTTCACGCGTAACTAATCGATACTAAAACACTGTGGATATCTATTATCACTGACTACCGATATTTATGCCGGTAATAATCAATAAAATGTAATGCAATTAATTTAACCGGAATGAAGTTAACTACACCACACCGCGTGCAAACACTACCTGAAACGAACGAACGTTCGTAGCACGAGCCCAGCATGAAACCGGTTCGAAGCGATAAGAAAGTTGTTTACAAACAAACGCCGATAGCGTGCGGGATTGAACGCGAAACTATCTGATATGTAGATGTAATACAACTTATAAAGAGACGAAAATACGCATCGAATAAGTAAAGATTTAATTTTAATGTTTTGTATGAAAATTATTATTATTTTTAATCAATTTGCAATCTGTTATTTTTATTTATTTTTATTTGTCATGTAGTTGTCAATTTTACATTGAATTGGATGCAAACAGACATGAGCTCCAAAAGTAATTTTTTACATGTGTACAGCAATTCATTGCTTTTAAACAATGCTACAGAAGAATCAGTGGCTGATGAAAACGACGACAGTAAGTTGAGTAGCATCACTAAATTATTGAAATGAACAAATATTATTAAATATTATATTGGTTATTAGATTGTATATAAAAAATAAAAATACTGTAACCCTCACAAAATATCATTGTTAAATAATATAAAAAACCTTTGCAGATCCATTATCCCTATTAATATTATAAATGCAATAGTCCTGATGTTTGTTACACTTTCACGCAAAAACTACTTAACCGATCATCATGAAAATTTGTACACATATTCTTAGTGGTCCCCGAATGGTTATAGGCTACTTTTTATTTAATAAAAAAATCCAACAGTAAAAGGTAAAAAAGCCACTAAAAGTACTAAAAGTGACATTTTCAATTTTGCCCATTTATTTGAATTGCGAATATCTCGTAAATTAATAGAAATAAATAGGTACAAATTGCAGAGTCTTAATCTACGGAAAATTCTCTATAAGATAGGCTAGTTAAAACGGAAATGAGAAAGAGGTTTTCGCTTCAAAATTAAAAATTGAGAAATTTGAAGAACGATTTTAAAGCACTTCGCGCATTGTTTCCGGGGGCGGCAATAGCGTGTTGTTGAGAATGCAGCTCGCGTATCAAACTCATCAGAAACATGCAAATACTCCCAACATTTTCAGATATATGACTCGATTTCCGCAATAAAACATTTAAAAATAGGAAAATTTATATAATTATAATGTAATAATAAGTATAAACTTACTAGTGCCTCGAGTAGTCACTGAATGAGCTGCAACAAGAAAAAAACAGGTGTGTTAGAACTCACATTATGCTAAAGACTTCTTAAATCTGTTCCGTTAGATGACGGACTTGAATGACACATGCTCAGAATTATAAATAGTATACATACCTCTTATTCCCATTCCCAGCATCGAGATAATTCAATAATCGTCGGATCACTAATGCACAAATGAACACACGAGTTCTATAATTATTTCACGCGTAACTCGTCGATACTAAAACACTGTGGATATCTATTATTACTAACTACCGATATTTATGCCGGTAATAATCAATAAAATGTAATGCAATTAATTTAATCGAAATGAATGTAAGAACTACACCGAACCGCGTGCAAATACAAACTGAAACGTACGAACATTCGTAGCATGAGCGCAGCATGAAACCGGTTCGATAAGAAAGTTGTTTATAAACAAACGCCGATAGCGTGCGGGATTGAACGCGAAACTATCTGATATATAGATGTAATACAACTTATAAAGAGACGAAAAGACGCATGAAATAACTAAAGATTTTATTATAATGTTTTGTATGTGAATTAGTTTCAACTAAATTTTAACCCCATCGAAACCGACTTTTAATAAACCTGATATTTCTATTTATTTTAATTTGTCATTTAGTTGTCAATTTTGCATTGAATTGAATGCAAACAGACATGAGTTCCGAGAGTAATTTTTTACATGTGTACAGCAATTCATTGCTTTTAAACAATGCTACAGAAGAATCAGTGGCTGATGAAAACGACGACAGTAAGTTGAGTAGCATCACTAAATTATTGAAATGAACCAATATTATTAATTAATACATTGATTATTAGATTATATATAAAAAATAAAAATACTGAAACCCTCACAAAATATCATTGTTAAATGATATAAAAAACCTTTGCAGATCCATTATCCCTATTAATATTATAAATGCAATAGTCCTGATGTTTGTTACACTTTGACGCAAAAACTACTTAACCGATAATCATGAAAATTTGTACACATATTCTTAGTGGTCCCCGAATGGTTATAGGCTACTTTTTATTTAATAAAATAAATTATTTTTTAAATAAAATAAAGAAATTGTTTAGCCAATAATACCTCTGCATCTGGCTATTTGA